AGAAGAGGGCCCCTGACCCCCAATCCCCACCCCTCCCAGAAAAATGCCATAATTTATGCAGAAAAGACACAGTCCAAGGCAGCCGGTGGCCTCAGGCCATCGTCTTCCAGATGGTGAGGGAGGCGGTGAGCACCCCGGCCACGAAGATGGTCACGGTCTGCCACGTGGGGGTCCCGAAGTAGGAGAGGAGGCCGTCCTGGGGACAGGGACATCGGTCACTTCGGCAAGGCAGCCTCCAGCCAGGGCGGGGGGTGGGGGGGGTCAGGAAGAGGTCAGAGGGCGGGAGCCGGGGCAAGGGCCCAAGGGCCGAAGACTAACAGGTACTCAAGAGCTGGGGTCAAAGGGTTATCACAGAACTTGAGGATTCCAGAAGAAGTGGAGGCACCAGGGAGTAGGCCGCAGGTCAGGGGTCACCGGGAGGTCAGAGGTCACCGGGTCAAAGGTCACATAAAGGTCAGCCGGTCCCCGAGGAATCAAGGGTTGATCAGATACGTGAGGACATGCATTTACAGACCACATCTGATGAGGTGAACATGCGGAGGGCAGGGGGCACCGCTGTGGTGGGCTGGGGGGGGGTCCCGGAGGAAGGGAAGGGGTTTGGGGCCTCACCCAACCGCCCTGGTCCTGGATCCAGCCCAGCAGCCGCTCTCGGAGGAAGTCCAGTGTCCAGCCCATGATGGTCCTGATCAGCTCAGGCACTTTGGTGCACAGGGCCTGGGGGAGTGGGTGGGCCTCAGGAGCAGGCTGGTCCCCCGAGCCTCGAGCCCCCCTTCTCAGCTCTGCCTCCTCCTGCAGCCCCGCAGCCTCCTTCCCCCTCGGTCAGAACCAGCTTCATACACTGTCGCCTGGACCGGGCCACTGTCAGCTGCCCTGCCCACACACCTTCCGTGGCTCCCCAGCGCCCGGGGGTAAAGCAGAAGGCAGAGCTCAGCCCTGAGTGAGGCTCTGATGGAACATAATCCGATGGGTGGCCGCTCTCCGGGGCCTCATGCCCTTCCCATCCTCATTCCCACCAACGCTTCCTGCTGATACTCGGGCCTCAATGGGCCTCAACCAGAGGAACGTTCCCTCATCCCTCCAAGCTGGGGTCTAAGGTCACGTCCCCAGAGAGGGCTCTTCTGGCCTTCAGACCAGGTATGACTCCACAGCCTGCATACATGGCCTCTCTCCATTTCCCCGAACGTCCGCTTCCCACTCTGTCCGCTGCGTCTCCCCTCCTGGTGTCCCCAGCCCACCATCACCATGACTGCTGTCCCCCTCACCTCACCGCCAACAGTCAACCCCACTAGCTCAATATCCCAAACACAAGTCTATTTCGCCCGGCCGGCGTGGCTCAGTGGTTGAGCATCAACCTATGAAGCAGGAGGTTACGGTTCGATTCCCAATTGCCCGGGTTGTAGGCTCGATCCCCAGTGTGGGTCGTGCGGGAGGCAGCCAATCAGTGATTCTCTCTCATCATTGATGTTTCTATCTCTCTCTCCCTCTCTGAAATCAGTAAAAATATATATTTTTTTAGCTCTAGCTGGTTTGGCTCAGTGCACAGAGCGTCGGCCTGTGGACTGAAGGGTCCCAGGTTCGATTCGGTCAAGGGCACATGCGTGGGTCGAGGGCTCGATCCCCAGTGGGGGGTGTACGGGAGGCAGCCGATCCATGATTCTCTCCCATCATGGAAGGTTCTATCTCTCTCTCCCTCTTCCTTCTCTGAAATCAATAAAAATATTTAAAAAAAAAAACTGCCCTAACTGGTTTGGCTCAGTGGATAGAGCGTCGGCCTGTGGACTGAAAGGTCCCAGGTTCAATTCCGGTCAAGGGCATGTACCTTGGTTGCGGGCACATCCCCAGTAGGTGGTGTGCAGGAGGCAGATGATCGATGTTTCTCTCCCTCAATGTTTCTAACTCTCTATCCCTCTCCCTTACTCTCTGTAAAAAATCAATAAAATATATTTTTTTAAAAATCTATTTCCAGCTCTGGCCGGTCTGGCTCAGTGGATAGAGTGTCCCGGGTTCGATTCCAATCAAGGGCACATGCCTGGGTTTCGGGCTCAATCCCTAGTAGGGGGTGCGTGGGAGGCAGCCGATCAATGATTCTCTCTCATCATTGATGTTTCTATCTCTCCCTCTCCCTCTCTGAAATCAATAAAAAAATATATAAAAATATATATATTTCCACACCTCTAGTGCTACTAGCTGAGTCCAGGTCAGTCATTGTTTGTAGGGACTATCTATAACAAGTGCCCCCACCCCAGCTCCTCAGCTTTTGCCCTTCTGTCCCATAATCCCTTTTTCTACTCCCAATGGCCAGAACAATTTGTTGAGCTTCCCTTCCCCCAATATATATATTTTAATTGATTTCAGAGGGGAAGGGAGGAGATGCTTTTGCCCTTCTGTCCCATAATCCCTTTTTCTACTCACAATGGCCAGACAATTTGTTGGGCTTCCCTTCCCCCGATATATATGTATTTTTAAATTGATTTCAGAGGGGAAGGGAGAAGGAGATAGAAACATCAATGATGAGAGAATCATTGATCGGCTGCCTCCTACACACCCCACACTGGGGATCGAGCCCGCAACCCGGGCATGTGCCCGGACTAGGAATCGAACCCAGGACCCTTCAGTCCACAGGCTGACGCTCTATCCACTGAGTCAAACTGGCTGGGGCCTCCCTCAATATTTTATCATGAGAATCTTCAGAGAAAAGTTAAAAGAATTTCACAGTGAACAACCATACACACCTGCAACCTAGATTCTACAATTAACATTTTGCTATACTTGCTGGAATAATATGTTAAGTGTATAAATCAGGTCACCTCACTCTCCTGTTTACAATCAGCCAATTGCCCTGGCGGGGGTCCTCAGTTGTGTGAGCGTCCTCTGTGCACTGAAAGGTTGCGGGTTCCATTCCCGGTCAGGGCACAGGCCCAGGTTGCGGGCTCTCCCCCCTCGGGTGCATGCAGGAGGCAGCCAATCGCTGTTTCTCTGACATCCATGTTTCTCTCTCTTTCTCTCTCTCCCTTCCTTTTTCTCTAAAATCAATGAAAACATATTTAAAACAATAATAATAAAATAAAACCAGCTAATCACTCCATCTCACTCCGAGTGAAGTTGAAGTCTTTACAGTGGCCCATCAGGCCCCTCAAAACCTGCCCTCATCTCCTACCCTTTTCCCCTCCTCACTCTTTTCTAACCACAAGGGCCTCCTCAACCCATAAGGTCTGGTCTTACCCCAGGGCCTTTGCACTTGCTGCGCCCGCTCCAGATGCCTTTCCCCCAATCCTTACATGTCACTGCGCCTTTCTTGTCGTTCCAACTTGGGCTTTCATGTCACCTCCCCTGAGAAGTCTTTCCTGGTCAATTCGCCCCGAACCACATCACCCTAGCTTACTCCTCTCAGCACCCGTCGCTCGATGTGAGCGCCTTGAGAGCAGGGACCTAACCCGCTTTGTTTGGTGCTGCATCCTGGGTGCAGAGTACAGGATGGCACATAGTAGGCCCAATAAATATCTGTTGGATGAATACATGAATGCAGGAACAGACAACGGGCTCATAGCTATCTCCTTCGGTCCATCTGGGCTGCCACAGGGGTTGACGTCACACCTCCCAGGTCCCCCGCGGGTTTGAGGGGAGCCTTCCTGGGCTCCCTACCCTGCAGCCACCCACCTTGAGCACCAGTTTGCTGGCAAAGTAGAAGAGGGCGACAACCCGGCCCCAGTTGAAGTTGCCGTCGGAGAACATTTCGGACGCCACTCGGAAGAAGACCTCTCGGGGGGAGTCTGTGTCCACAGCCGCGATCATCCTGCAGGAGAGAGGGGAGCCCGTGGCGGAGGGGATCAGGCGGAGCATGCAAACTGTGGCTTCCACCCCATAGACCAAAGATGAGAAAACTGAGGCCCAAGGCCAATTTGAAATGAAAAGCAAGAAGCCAACGCAGGGGAAAGGGACCAGGTGGACATTTAGAAAAGTGGGAAAATGAAAATGACCCCCGAAGGAGGGTTTCAAGATCCTATGGGCCCAGCCGGCCTAGCTCAGGGGTCGAGCGATGACCTATGAACCAGGAGGTCATAGGTCGTCTGGGCACGTGCAGTGTGGGACATGCAGGGGGCAGCCCATCAATGACTCCATCTCATCACCGATATTTCTCTCTCTCCCTTCCTCTCTGAAATCAATAAAAATCTTTTTTTTTTTTTTTTTAAAGATCCTCGGGGAGGGGCGGGCTGGGAGTCAGAGTGTTGAGTTGAGTGGCGGGGCCCCGGACCGCCAGGTCTGCAGGAACCGGGGGCTGTGGACCTGGACTCAGTGCTCCTCAGGGAAGGGGGGGCCGGGGGCTGGGACTCCTGGGTTCCGGGGGCCACACCTCTGCAGCTCCATGTTACTGTCGAGCTCGTCGCCAATGCGCTTGAGGCACTCGCTGAGCTTCTTGGTGGATGCGTCCTGGGGCACCCTGGGCCCCAGGGGCAGCTGGGACGCCTCTCCCCCCATGTGCTCTGCTTGGTCCTGGCTGCAGCTGGAGGGG